TTACAAATTCTCATTGCTATTTGATTTGGTGGCAAACAAACAAACAAACAAAAAAGAGTATTACCATTTCTCGTGCTTTTAATTAAAACTTCATTTTAAATTTTGTCTTTGAAGCTCGGGATGGAGAAAGCAGAGTTATGTGTGCAACATGTGCCGGTGTCCTTCATTAGTGCGCACCTCCTTCTATTCTGATCCCTTAAGAATTCCATGGAATGGTATTTAACCATTAGGTCCTGCCCTTTTGGGAGCCAAGGCCTCCCTTGTCATGTAACCATGAGCATGTCTGCATGAACTCAACCCACCGTTTCTAGATCCTAAGAGAAATATGAATACTTTCTTCTTAAAAAAGTACTTCTTCAAAGTACTTAGGCTTCAGTCATAGGATTGAGAAAAAAAATGTAAGCCACCAGAGACTTAAAACTCCTGTCAAAAAGGAAGTCTTTCTTACTTCCAAGCCAAACATCCCCCCATTATTCTCTCATGATCCCCATAACTGTTACACTGTTAGTCTTTTTAAAGTCACAACATGCAGATGATGAAAATAAGCATCAAATGGAGTGATGAAAATAGTCAGCAATGGGAGGGCATGAGCACAGAATCAATTCTGCCTTCTTTATTACTTCTTTACCCTCAAATCTCAATTTGGAGTACATGAACCCAAACTGCAGAAATTGGCCATTTGATCCCATATGCCCTGGCTAAGTCAGCACAGCACTGAAATATCACTAGCAAACTTAACATCTGCTGAATGATGCTCTGCTAAGGCTACTTGGAACGGACGCTATACACAGCCTATGGGAGGCTCCGAGCTATCTACAGGAAGCTCTGCTTTCATTCTAGTGTCTGTGCCTCCCACAGCAGCTCAGGTAAATTCTCTGTGATAACCTAATCATGACGATTCCCTTTTCCTTCCTGATAATTGCTTTGTACCAACACAAAAAACCCAAAAACTGTGATGGTGAGTTCTGGAGAACATCTTGGGAAGCATCATCGTAACTCCTGAAGAGGCTCAAGAAGAGACAATGTTTCTTCCGTTTCTGACAAGCACAGATGCGCAGGGACACAATGTAACATCTTATGACCCTGAGAGGAGGCTGGCTGAGCAGGAAATAACCAGTGTCCTTCAGAAGTCACAAATTAACCAGCTCTCAGGACTGAGGTTTTGTGATGACATAACAGGTTCCTTGCTAAGCCATTTTGAATGAGGTTTTCTCTTTATTGAAGCCCAAAGCAAGCTAAGCAATACAGTACTACCTGTGAGAAGCAAGATGAGGTTCTGTCTTTGTGTACCTAGCAACACAGGGGTAACTGCATCAAGAAAAGAGAGTAATATTCACTTCTTAGTGTTTTGGGGAAAATGAGCTGTGAAAGGTTATTTTTAATAGTGACCCTTAATGTATAGAGAGTGCTTTGAAATCCTCCTACTGAGCACAGACGCTGTAATAAAGTTAAGGATGAGCCACTGTGGATGATACGTGTGGGGCATGCAACACACTTGGAGTCATTGAATGTGTAAACAGAAACCACCTTATTATTATTATTATTATTATTATTATTATTAATTATATTAATATAATAATAATAATAATTATTATTATTATGAAGTGGTCCTTATTACTCATCCATTGCGCTTTTATTCCACAATTATAAGACCAGGAGTTTTCTTCCTTGTTTCTGTAACAAGTCATCCCTGTCCTCTAGGCCTACCTGGTGAAGCCACAGAAATACATACACACACACACACACACACACACACACACACACAAACACACACACACACACACACCAGAAAACTGAGGCTTAAAGAGGAAGAACTGTTGAGATCCAAAGCTAACTGGACTTGATCTTCTTCAGAATGAAAACGCATTGTGTTTCACTTTAAAGTAAATTCATGTGCTTAGAGCTCAATTTAATGCAAAATCTGGAGAAATCAAAACAAGATTTTAAAAAGACCAACTTAATAATGACAATAATATCGTTTGTATTTGATGTGTTAATTTTCTTCCTCCATCTTTAATAAGTTTCACATTTCCAACTCCTATTCCTCTTTAATACCATTTCCCTCTCCTCAAAAATGTTTATATATAGCTGGGCAGTGATGGTGTACTGCTGCGGGAGTACCTTCCACTGCTTCAGACAATAGTCGCTGAAGCATGAGCCCACAATGCTGCGGGAGTGTCTTCCGCTCCATCAGCCAATAGCTGCTGAAATACCAGCCCACTGGGGCGTGGTATATTTCTCTTTAAAACAAGAGTGACAAGCCTCAGCTCGGCCTCTTGGTTCCGGCTCCTGCTCCAGCAACTAGGCTCCTTTTCTGATGGTTTATATGCATGTAAATTTACCCCCAAAAATAAATACCCCTTTAAAACATAACTGATGTGGGATTGATTCGCCTTTAATCCCAGCACTCGGGAGGCAGATCTCTGATTTCAAGGCCAGCCTGATCTACAAAATGAGTTCCAGCACAGGCTCTAAAGCTACACAGAGAAACCCTGTCTCACAAACAAACAAAAAACCCAACAAAACAACAACAACAAAAAAAAACCAGCAACAACAACAAAAAGTTTATATATGACCCCCCTGCAGGTCAGTGGCTCTCAAAGGTCTGTGTGTGCATTAACTCTTGGGGAAACAACCCAGAAATGCAGTAGCTGCCAGTAGAGGCACAGTATGGCCCAGAGATGCCAGTGTGAACAAGCGCTCTGGGTGGTTCCAGCCACACTTGCAGGCAAGTGACTCCAGACTGCATACTAGATCCCAAGACACAAATAGAAAACATCTAATTACCATAGTAGATTTAAACTGGATCAACACAAACATGCGCTCGGTTGCCTGTAATTTTGATGTTCCCTCTGCGGTCTGGAACAAGCCCCAACTTTTCTGTGACTTGGATACATCTTAGTAATAACTTTGCTTTAGAGGTCAAGGGTTTTATCTTTTCCTTCTAAGCCCCACCCCAGCCCCCCAAATGCATTTTTTCTTGATATTTAATCTATAATTTATTTAAATTTTATAGAAATATAAAACATTATAAAATATAAAACAAACAAAAACCCCACAATACATAATGTCTAACTTTCAGCCAGAGGCTGAGCTACGCAGGCAAACAGTAGGTAAGAAGAGAAGAAAACACTGGCTTTTCTAGCAGTCAGCCACGAAACCAAAACTTAGGAAGGAAGTTGACCATTAAGCAAGTGGCCAGGAACAATAGTTGAGGCCAGTCCTAGGCTAAGTCTGAGCCTGCAAACACTGGGATTAAACAAAGCTCATGCCACAAGCCCGGCTCCCCTCAAGGCTGGGCTCTAAAATAAGGAGAGCAGTGTAAGCCAGAGCACTGCTCGGGTCGTATCCGAAAGAAACTCCTGAGCAAGGCGCCTCCATTCATCTCTCTCAAGGACATCTTAACTCTGAAGCTTTGTGGACCAAGGGCACAGAGCACAGCGGAGAGCTGGAGTCTGTCTGACCTCTGACCTCTGCAGCAATGGCCCACAGTAAGGAACAGGAGCTAGGTGCTTGTGATTGGCAGACGACTTGGTGCGTAATTGAACAAAGGAACGGCATAAGGCCAATACAAACTGTCATCAAATAACACAAAAGGCTCCAGACATGCAATGGAATAAACAACCCCAGAAAACAAACAAACAACAACAACAAAAACAAACAAACCCTTCAGTATAAATCTGTTTAAAGGCAAGAAGTCGAGACCACTGGCACTGGGGTGTTCTACCTAGTTGTAGACATCGTAAGTTGGAAAGAGGATGGACTGTTTTCATTATTTTAATTGTTTTCTTCTTTAAATAGTCTTATCAATCCTCAGGGCAAATTACAATCGGGGAAAATTTCAGTATGGGTCCTGATGGGTCACCATTAACTCTTGACCTAATTAAGCTCATTCAAATCGCACTGCTTTTGGCTAGTGTCCAACCTTTTCTCTCTTCCAGCTGCTCCCAGCCTGAAGACACAGGCGCCGCCACCCACTCACAAGCACCCTTTATATACTCAGCTGAGTGTCCACCCGCAGCCTCCCACCTCAGTGTCTGCCTGGGGGATGCGAAGCTCTGTTTGTAACGATAGAAGCCAGCTTTCTAGGTAGCCAGTGCCTGACTGTGGGATGTACGGACGAGCAGCAAATCCATCTCAGAGCATCAGGAGCTGTTTTCTGAAGCCAGGCTTCCACTTCTTTACTCCAACGTCATCAGGGTTCTTCTGACATTCTGGGGGCATTCTCCCTGCAAACTCATTATTATTTCTGAATATGCAGTTCTGATACAGCATCCCAAAAAGAAATAAAAGATCAACAATGGAAAATTCCTTGACTCTGTCCACTTGTTTCTCACCAGTGCTCAGAACATCCTGGGTTCTTTATAAGAGCCTTTTAAACCTTTATGGTAGACATACGTGCCACCACCACGAAAGGTAACATCAAGAGCTTGACAAGTATATGGAAACTAACCATAACAGTCTCCTACAGATGAGTATCAGCTTACCTGAAGGACATGTTTAAAAGCATGAGTAAAACACTACAGGGCAGATTTGAGACACATTAGTTCAGTGAGTTTGCGGCTTTGTGGGTTAAGCAAACACTACGCATTCACCCATCAACACCACTACCCGCTTCACACCCAGATTCTGTAACCACACGACATGCTCTTCCTCAGTCACCAAAAGAACATCTTAGAGCCCCAAACTCCATGGGGACCCAACATAATGGTTGATCTACTCTGGACCGCCCTTGATCACCGCAAGAGCAAAATCCCCTGAGACCTCTGATGACCTACACTGAGGCCCTCTGAAGACTCCTTGGCAAAGGCCACCTGGCACTAACTGTGTTCTCTACAGTTACCGCAGGACATGCTTCTTTGCTGAGCCTAGTCTACCTGATGCAACAGCGGGAGGGAGAGCCACAATGATGTCATTGTGAATGACCTCACTATGAATGACCTCACTGTGAAGGTGAGAACTCTCTGGGGTGGGGAGGGAGCAGGAGGTGAGGAACCTACTTCGCCAGGTGGTTCATGAGCAGCTGCAGCATCTGCCGGTTCTTCTCTGGGAGCCGGTGAACGAGGCTGTGGATCTCAGAGACTCGGGTCTCTTGGTTTTCCAACTCTGGGAGGGAAGAAAGGGGGTAATGTTTTATGGGAGTCACAGCTGAGTGGCAAGACTAGACCAAGGGAAACTAAAGCCTCAGCCCTAACACAGGGAAGATGTTCTCGAGGATTTACAAGTCTGCCATGTGTGCGTGCCTAGGACCAGCATGGCTTCCTCGGACAGGCCTATCGATGTGCGTTCTGTATCAGAGTTCATCCAAACACTGACTGTGATGAAATGGAGCTTGTCAACTGCACACCCAGGGAGGGAACAAACACGGGAGCAGCTGGCTCCCTAGAGGGCCAACTTCATTTCAAGGAAAGAAGGAACGTTACGCACTTGTGAAGTGGTAAACAGATCTTATGTGAACATTACAAAGGTCTCAAGTTTCAAAATAACGTATCCAGATGCATCAAAGAAACCACCCCTGTGCTTAAGTTATGTGCCACACACCAGCCTAGTGGAAAGAAAGCGGTGACAGATAAAATATTTAGATCTTCCTGTCATTCCATAACCTGTAACACAGCCTGACACCTTTAGGGAAGTGGCTTCGTTTCTCTGGGAAATAGATTGCTAATACTCTTCATACCTATTTATAGAACTGATGTGAGGTTTAATTAGAGAAGGGCTGCTATGAGGTTGGAATCTCTCCTGAGGAAGAATTCACATAAACACCATCTTCACTCACCCATGCCTTTCCCCTCCTTGTTGAAGAGGACAAGATCAAGTATATAAGGCTATCAGAACATTAGGTACTTACAAAAGTAGGCCAGTAGTGTTACCAGGGTAAACAAACCATAAAGGCTAAGAGGAACCAGGGAGAGGCACAAGCTATGGGCATCGTAATACCAAGGATCAGTCCTGCCAGGTTTAAATCTGATAGAGAATCTAACCGCCCCACGTAGACAGATTCCAGTATACTTAGGGTAGCTTGACCCTAATCCCTATGTATTTTAATACCAGTAATATGAACTAGGGGCCTCAAATGATAGAGTCAAAGAATGATCAGACTGTAAATGGAAGACATGGTGGAAAAAGAACAGTGACGTTACATAAATGGTGTCATACTCAGGGAAATATTTCCAACGCTCAACTTAGGAAATGTGCAATGTCTGGTTCATTCTGCAGAATGTTACTTTAAGGATGGAAGAAAACCCCAAGAAGTTACAACTCCAATAATCAAAACTAGAAAGGAAAAACTGATTTTCTGTCTCCTCTCTTCCTGCTTCTATTCCCCTCCCTCCCAGACAAGAAAAATGCCTCTGAAGTTTCCCTCTTCCACTGGAAAGTCAAAGCCTAAGTGAGGCCCCTCGCAGCCTTGACTCCATTTCATTTTTATTTTGATACAGAATCTCAAGCGTGTATGCAGACATTTTGCATGTAGAATGTGGCAGGCTAGACAGTATTTATTTTGGGATTCTGAATGTTCCTCGAAATAGAAAAATCTATTCTCTTTCTCCTTGAAACTTCAACCAAAAAAAAAAAAAATGCTTACTTGCCGCTTTGATGAAACTTCTTTGAAACTGGTACATCATGAGTGGTCCTGGAAGCATTCTAGAATAAAAATACAGAGACACGGACAAGTCAATTTCACAGTAAGTTGATCACTCTTGTTAAGCCGCACCCTGAATACTGCCGAACAGCACAGTCCAGCTCTAACACACAGGGCGTGGAGAAACAACAGCAATTGATGTAGCAACATTGACTGAAAGCATGCGGCTTTTCACCTGAAATTCTCAGTTTAACATTTCCTTCACCTCTTCCCCACCACCAGCATTATGGTATGGTGTGGGAAATTGTTCTGTATATGTGTTGCTTTTATTGGCAAATGAATAAAGAAGCTGCTTTTGGCCAATGGCGTAGCAGAAAAGAACAAGGCATGGAAAACTAAACTGAATGCTGGAAGAAAGAAGGTGGAGTCAGAGAGAAGCCATGTAGCTGCCAAAGGGGAAAGACACGAGCTGCCAGTTGGAACCTTGCTGGTAGGTCACAAGCCTCATGGTGAATTCTAAAATAATGGAACTGGGTTAAATTAAGATGTAAGAGTTAGCCAGAAATACGCTTAAGCTATTGACCAAACAGTATTGCTAATATATAGTTTCTGTGTGACTATTTCTGGAGTCTGGGAGGCAGGGAAACAAACAAGCCGACTCCTACAACATTGCTATATAATCTAGGCTGAATTGGAACTCATTATCTTTCCTCTACCCCCGGATGCTAGTGTTATAGGTGGTGGTGCCCCTCCTCCCCTCTCTCTTTTTGAAAAGGATGGCGACAGCTGTGCATCAGCCACACAGCAGCAGGAGCAGATGCAGAAGTCCAGCACAAACCCAAAGATCTCCTTTCAGTCAGGAGTCATCCATGAGCAAGAGTGCATTAGCACATGTCTGAGAAACAAGCAATCAGCTACATATCTGTGTCAGCTGGCTCTAGACTCTCATTTCCCCAGAAGCTTGCTGTTGAAATCAGTGTTTCTAGAAATACCATAAAAATTTTGTGTATTTTTTGCTTCCAAGAGGAGTATTACTTCAAAGTACCTAAGGGATACAGGGCACTGGATCAACTGTGTGTGAACATGATTAACTACTAATGAGCTTTTTCTAATAATTCAAATAATGCTCAGGGCAGAAGAGATGGCTCCACAGTTAAGAGCACTGCCTGTTCTTCCAAAGGTCCTGAGTTCAATTCCCAGCCACATGGTGGCTCACAACCATCTGTAATGAGACCCCAAATAATAATCAAAAACCCTTCATCATTTGTAAGATGTAAGCAGTGAGCCAATAGTACTAATGAGGGATAGAGGGGAGCAATGATAGTGTATATAATAGTATATAATGGTATAAGGTAATATTTCCTTTTTCTACCTCCCCTTCCCTTCCCTCCCCTCCCCCCCTTTATTCAGTTAATCACACTAGCAGAGACCAAACAGGAGTCTCCAAATGACAATTTTCTCCATATCTACCTTCTCATTTTTAAGAACCAATGTAAGCACTATATTCTGCGTAAAGCACAGAACAGTCGCAATAAGCTGGGTGTGTGATCCAGTCTGTTTAAAGAAGCGACACAGGAGTTCTTGCTTTCTTGGTGGTAATTCAGGGAAGGCCATAGTTTAGGGCATGTCTGAGGCTAATCATCTTAATCCGTCTCATTAAGAGAAGAGCTTTCTAAATCACTCGTGGCACCATTGCACAGTGACAGCCCATCAACCCTGGGCAATTTATGATTGGCCTGACTGGCTGAACTTAGTGCTCCCACACAGAAGCTGTTTCCACAGCTCAGCCGCCCACCCAGAAGCTCTCTGGAGGCTGCAAGTAAAACTGCTTTCTTCCTGACAGCATGCTAGCTAAATGGCTGGCTGCTCATGAGCGGACGTCCCCACCTCAGGTAGGTCTTGAGAGCACTAGTGACGGTCTTTATCTCCCACTCCGCACAGATGTCAGTGTCTGTCTCGGACGCTGCTTTGGGATCTAAAAGGAAGAAGAGGCAATGAACAAGAAAATGCATAAAATACATTAACAGCAAATGTTCATACATGTAACAGAAAATACACTAACCGCAAATGTTCATACATGTAACAACATGAAAGCCCTCAACTGAAAAATGAACCTTAAAGTTAAAGAGACATTTATTTTGTCTACTGCATTGGAGAAATGTTTAAAAATCCAAATATCTACCATTAGAAGAATATGGTGGAGGTGAAAGTGTTACTTAGCACTCAGATTGCTAGAGAACAGCTGACATCAATTCATACGTAGCCATCCTGAATGGTACACATTGGATGGTACACATCCTGAATGGTACACACTTGACCTGAATGGTCAAGAGATGAACAGCTTCATGGGTCATCGGGTACCACTGTCATGGGCAGGATGGGCTAGGACACATACAAACGGGCCAGAGAGGCAGTAGGGCCTTCAGGAGTGTGGAGGCAAAGCCTGTCCTTCCTCAAGACCGAGACATGTTCCGCAATTCCAGCTCACATCCTCATTCCCATATGCACAGTGCCTCAGTTTCCACTGAGACTTCCTCTTTTATCACTCCTCCTTGAGTTGGGAAGTGAAAGCAGGACAGACAGCTCAAAGGCACAACCCAGAGTACTGAGGACAGATTCAGGGATGTTGTGGAACTTGCCTCACCCCACTCTGCTCACCACAAAGTGACTTCTCTAGGAGACAAGCTACTGTGTGATGTGCTTGATGGTGAAAGGTTATTTGAGTGCCAAGTGCCAACATGTAGAGCCTCAGAGAAAAGTCTCAAAACCAAGTCAGAAAAGAGAGACAATGCAGTGTGGAAGACCGGTTCAGCACTTGAACCTAGGCAAAACTTTTTAATTAAACAAGTCAGCCCCCACCTTTGTTTCTTGGAAAAGACCTTAAGTTCACAGTAACTGGAAGGGTTCAGATCTTGGGCCATTCCTGAGTCAGTCACAAGGACACCAGAGAAGCAGTGTGCCTTTAATTGGTTGTCCCAAGTTAGCGTGCCCCACCTTTAGAAAGAGTAAGAAAAAGCCACACCATGGCTTAGATCTGGTTTTCCAGTCTGATATTTAAATGGCATGCCAGGTAAACAGAGACTGAAAGTGGACTACCTCTTTCTCAATAGTTCCCAAGACTGATCCCCAAGCAAGAGCTTCTGCCTACGGGGCTAAGTGCATGTCCACTGGAAAAGGAGATGAGTCACCAGACACACTTTTCCGTTTGCTGAGAAAGAACCCACGTTGGTCCTAGTGGGATCAGGTCAAATACTCAAGAATGCTCAAGAATTTAACCTGTAGTTCCCAAGAGAGAGCACAACTCTAGCTGTTCCCGACAGCACAGGGTGTTCCTCTGACATAGATTTACAGACGAAGCAGAGAAGGGCATTAGCTTACAAACTTTGCCACTCCTGAAGGCACGATGCTCATGCAATGTTCACACACGACCATGGGCAATATGATTTTCTTTAAGCATGACAGAAACAAGGAAGGACCATTTTCATAGACTGACAAATCCCACACAGTTCTACTACAGCAAATGTCCTGAAAGGTTGGAAAATGCACTTTTCCTACTATCCCGATCTCTGAAACTTCATTTCTTTTCTTTCTCTGCCATCTGAAGCTTCCTGTTTTCCTCCTGCAGACAGACAGACACCAGACTGCAGAAGCCTATGCATCCAGGCACTATGCTTAGCATGATCTTCCTCCCTTCTGTCCCCAAAGCGCCTTAGCACTGTGACACTTCTTGGTTTTTGGATTCAAGACAAATGTTACTGTACATTTTTCTGAGGAACAATCCAACTTCTACCCCAGAAAATGGACCGTGAAACAGCAGCAGCAGCAGTTGGAAGGTCTGAGAGTCGTGAACTGTTCCATGAACCACATTTAGCAAACTAATCATTAGCTTCCACTTTTCCGGGCTCTGTAACCATAGGAGTATTGCATAACATTACAGGGAAGAGAGTCAAATTACAGTCCGGCTGAAAAGTTTTTTATAGCACTGATGAGGCAAAGTTCATAATGTGAATGTGTCCATTTTAATCCATTTAATATCCAAACTAAATTGAATACAACCACACACAAGTTACCCCATATTCAGAAAGAGTGGCCTGGTGCTATACCTCCTTCCTGAGGAACTTTTTGCTTAATGGACATTTCCTGGTGGCATTTGAACATCTCTGAGGCATCATCTTCAAAGTCTGCAGAACTCTGAGCGTTTCTCCCCATGCTGCTCCTCAACCAAAGCAGAGCGTAGGGAGATAAGGACACACTGAGAGAGCAGCACAGTGCTGAAGAGGGCACGTGGTTGATGAGCAGGAACTAGCTCTTCTCTTTCACCCACTACCATCTGAATCCAGAAAATCAGGAGACACAGCAGAAGCGGTGTTTCTAACGGGAAGCTGTCCTAGGTCGTACCGAACCAGATTCTGAAAACCACTTGGGACACTAACAGTGAAAGGAACTCAATGAAGGTTTGGGACCTGAATTAATGGCTAAGGTACTTGATATACAAGCATAAAGACTTGAGTTCATAAGTCTCTGGTATCTTTATCTCTGGTACCGATAAAAAAATGTAGGCAAGAAGGTATGAGGCTGTAATCTTCTGGGGAGGCACAAACAGGAGTCCACTGACCAGGCAGTCTAGTGGAATCAGTGACCGACAGGTTCAGAAGAGAGGCCCTGTCTCAAAAATAAGATGTAACGTGATAGATGAAGAAATCCAACTTGAACTGCTCACCTATGTCCAGACATGCAAGGGCAAATACTCAAACACACATGCAGATACTCACATGCAGCGTGCACACACACCCACAACAACACAAAGAAAAAATGGAAACATACACATACATTAAACAATAAATCTTTTCTAAGGTACAAGCATATCATATCACTTTGTGTACGGCATCAACTCTCCCAGTCTATGCATATATAAATATATAAATATATGGACATGTTGTTTTTCAGTAAATAAATGGTCTTTTTCACACAAGGAAGGGCCAGGTTTTGATCCTCAGCTCCACAAAACAGAAATGGAGGCACAAGACACATGTCACTTTTGCAGTGCGGCTTCCATTGGACAATTTCCTACAACTATCCCACAACCATACATGAATACATGAACTTCCAAGTGCTTCACTTTCCATATATACCACTCTGGACTGAATGCCCTCTTTTAAAGGAAATGGTGGTTGTACCCTTGTCACTAAGATGAACACAAACATAAACTAACAATTCCTGAAAGTAGACTTTCTGGATCAAGAATACATGTCTTGTTTTCCGAACACATCACTCGAGCCGCCTTCGGAGGTTTGAGCTTGAGTTGCTACTTCTCATCCTCATAACAACATGAAGTTGGGCTTCAGTCTTCATCAAGCAAAGAGATTTTTTGCTTTTCATTTTAAGTTATCTCATTCTCTTTTTATAATTTTTTTATTGAGCTATACATTTTCTCTGCTCCTCTCCCTGCCTCTCCCCTCCCCTTCTATCCTATTCCATGGTTCCCATGCTCCCAATTTACTCAGGAGATCTTGTCTTTTTCTACTTCCCATGTAGATTAGATCAATGTATGTCTCTCTTAGGGTCCTCTATGCTGTCTAAGTTTTCTGGGATTGTAAATTGTAGGCTTGTTTTCTCTGCTATATGTCTAAAAGCCACTTAAGAGTGAGTACATATGATATTTGTTTTTCTGTGTCTGGGTTACCTCAGTCAATATGATGTTTTCTAGATCCATTCATTTACCCACAAATTTCAAGATGTCATTATTTTTTCCTGTTGTCTAGTACTTTGTTGTGTAAATGTAACACATTTTCCTCATCCATTCTTCAGTAGAGAGGCATTTAGATTGTTTACAGGTTCTGGCTATGACAAATAATGCTGCTATGAACATAGTTGAGCACATGTCCTTGTGGTATGATTGGGCATCCTTTGGGTATATACCCAAAAGTGGTATTGCTGGGTCTTGAGGAAGGTTGTTACCTAATTTTCTGAGAAATACTCATAGTGATATCCAAAGGGGTTGTACCAGTTTGCACTCCCACAAGCAATGCAGGAGTGTTCCCTTTACCCCACATCCTCTCCAGCATAAGTTGTCATCAGTGTTTTTGATCTTGGCCATTCTTACAGGTATAAAATGAAATCTCAGAGTTGTTTTGATTCACATTTCCCTGATGCTAAGGATGTCGAGTATTTCCTTACGTGTCTTTCAGTCATTTTAGATTCCTCTGTTGAGAGTTCTCTGTTTAGGTCTGTACTCCATTTTTTTTTATTGGATTATTTATTCTTTTGTTGACCAATTTCTTTCTATCTGATGTGGGGTTAATGAAGATTTTCCCCCATTCTGTAGGCCGCTGTTTTGTCTTGTTGACCATGTCCTTTGATTTACAGAAGGTTTTCAGTTTCAGGAGGTCCCATTTATTAATTATTTTTCTCAGTGTCTGTGCTACTGGGGTTATATTTAGGAAGTGGTCTCCTGTGCCAATGTGTTCAAGTGTACTTCCCACTTCCTTTTCTATAAGGTTCAGTGCAGTTGGCTTTATGTTGAGGTCTTTGTATCTCATTGCCTTAATTTGCATTTTTGTCAAGGAGGACAAGGACAAATACAGAACACTCTTCTGTGCGTGTTTAAAGTGGACATTACTGAGGTATTCCTTAACTGTTCTATAACTGTACAGCTCCACATGCTGAAATTCACAGATGGTTAAGTAGCTACCACCACAGCCCAAGGACTCCATCGGCCCAGAACTCCTGATGCTCTATTATACTCACTCCTTTTCCACCCGCTGGCAATATCTGCACACGGCATAATACTTCTGAAATTCAGCCACGCTGCTACATGTACAGTAGTTTAATTCTTTTATTAGTAAGCCCTATCCAGTGCTCTGGCTACACCATAATCTGTTTATGCATTCCCTAGATGATGGACATCTGGGTGCGTTCCAGTTGTGGCTGCTATGAATAAAGCTACTAGAAACATTTACACAGAGGCTTTATATG